AGATTAGGTATACTATTTACGCCGACTCGATTAGGAAAATCACACTCGCGATCTCAAGTAAACTCTCTGAATACACATTTAAAAAACTACACGTTGGTGTCCCTAATCCTGTCATTACCTCTTTTGCTGTAACCCATCTTTAACATCTTATTTATATATATACATATATAAATTTGTTTTAGGTTATTACGTGACACATTGATTTTGTATATATATATTCTGTTACAGAAAGGACGTAAGTTAGTTGCAATAACTTTTGTCCAATCCATTTGTCTTTTGTTGCAATAAAATTGATTTAAACTAAAAATTATGTGCCAATGCTTCAAACTTTATAGCGCTTGGCTATCGGCCGAGTAGCTACCTGCATATATCATGGTTGTTGTCTGTATCATAAAGAGTTTTATGATAAAAGTGCTAAATTTGAACTTTAATTTAATACCTCTTTATATTCGTTATTTGGCGTATTTTAAACAACAAACTTTCATTTGATTTATTCCATCGTGTGACATAAATATAATTGATCTCCTGGAACTATTTGTGTAAATTGTTTCTCCTTAACTTGTGTCAATTTAGATAAGCTCTATTTATGAAGCATTTCCTTTAAAGTCGACATGTGTCATTGTTGTCAGATTAACTCATGTATTTACTGTCCAGCTTATACCATATATCTTTCAACTTAATTATATTACGTAACGGGATTAACGGTGTAAATGTACGACTTGTAAGAGGATATTTCTAAACATTTTCTTCAGGTTGGTAAGTATGGATTAGGAGAAGTTCTTTTGACACAACCAATAACATTTTCTATGTGACGTTTCGATGATTAGTACGATATGTATGTACACTGTCACCTTCATTAGACAAATGACCAATGAAGCGTATGCACACAAAGGACAACTCGTACACATTTTAAACCTTTGTGTGCATACGTTTCATTGGTCATTTTGTAGAGTGACAGTGTACATATCGTACTAGTCATCGAAACGTCACATAGAACATTTTATTGGTTGTGTAAAAAGATTGTAAGAGGAGTTAGAACCTAGGCATCGGACTGTACGGGTGTGTTTTTGGATACTCCAGAAATCACCCACCGACTGTACGGGTGTGTTTTTGGATACTCCAGAAATCACCGACCGACTTAGAGAAAGTTATTCTAATAAATTTATATTTGGACCATACAACATCTCCAAAACTTTTACTTTTCAAATTAGATAACAATGCACCCCACAAACGTGTTGTTTTAATTGGTGGAATAATCCGGAGTAATTTGCCTCATTCATTTGTGTAAGTCAATTTACATACAAAATCCCGAACCTTCACTGCCAAGCGAGATTTACCCTTACCTACAACCATCAAAATAACAACCCGAAGTTACGTGGATAAGATCGACCATGTTTCAACAGAGCTATCAACTCGTCTCATCAGACTCCTCAACGTTTCTGGAATAACACCGGAACCGGACGAAACAGCTGGGTATTGCCGACCAATAGACATTGCACCCGATGCGGCTTAACTTTTCACAACGGCCATCTCAGAATATGCCCCGCAATATCAGCCCAGTGTTTTAAGTGTGGAAAAATTGGACACTTTTCTAGACTATGTTCCTTAAAGGATTACCGACGACGAAACTTCCGTCAACCCTTGATGTCACCACGGATTTAAATTAGTTTCTCCTTAACTTATGAAGCGTTTCCTTTAAAGTCGACATGTGTCATTGTTGTCAGATTAGCTCATGTATTTACTGTCCATCTTATACCCTATATCTTTCAACTTGATTATATTACGTAACAGGATTAACTGTGTAATGTACTAAGGACATGATAACGACTTGTAAGAGGAGTTAGGACCTAGGCATCGGACTGTACGGGTGTGTTTTTGGATACTCCAGAAAACACCCACCGATCCGCGACCCAGAGAAAGTTATTCTAATAAATTTATATTTGGACCATACAACATCTCCAGAACTTTTACTTTTCAAATAAGATAACAAAACCCCACAAATGTGTTGTTATGTATGTTCTTGCTGTCATTGTTTTCTCATATGAGGGCCACGTAGTTTAATGACGATAATAATAAACATAAATTTTAATTATTAAGGATACAAAAAACCACCCTGATTTAGCCAAAGGCTTATCTCCCTCAGGGTCCTCAAATAGTATGCGGTTTTTTTCTTCTACAATAAGCATATTATATATCAGAGTTCTGACTGTAGGATCTTTGTATCATTGCCCATAACAGGGACTATAATTGGGAATTTGCTAACTGATCATACTTTTTTTTTACAAATTATTTCTGAAAAAAAACACCTATAAATAAAGAAAAAATAATGAAGACGAATTATTAAAAAAATATTATGAAAGTAAAGATGTATGAGGTATGACCGGAATTCGTACCATACACCCACAAACAAAATAATAACTAACTTAGAATTTCAGATATAAAATAAAAGAAAAAAAATGTTAAATTCATATATCAATAAATACAATTATACTAATTATATTTGTATGTATATGTAAAATTAAACAAACATTTTACAAAGTAAAAATGCGTTTTTAATGTGAAAATGAAGGGAACAGCTCTTCTTCAACTTTTCTTTTGTTATAAACTGAATCACTTTCAAGGAACTTTATATATAAACGTACTGTCATCGTTTGTCAACGCTTAATGTATAAGGATTTTCCAACGATCTTGTATCTTATTTAATGTTGGTGATTTCCTGAAACAGAAATTGTATTAAAAACAAGATAACAAAATTGTTGATGTATTCTCAGTGTTAAGTTAATGATGCAGTACTTTGATACCGGTGTCTTGACTGTTAATCGACGCATTAGGGTCATACTGTTTAAGTTGTAATTTTCGCAGGTTTTTATTTTCGCGATTTTCCGAGAAAATTTGTAGAGGTGTCACGTAGTGTATATATTTATACTTGCACAGCTGTTATCCGATCTGGAAGCATATGTAATTATTAGTTGACGATGTGCAATTCTAATTATTAGTCACATGGCAATCTAAAACAATAGCTTAATTGGATATATTCTATAATGAAATGATTATATGTCTTAATGACAAGTTCCAAAGGAACACACAAAGGCATCTATGGATTACGAGCATCCCTGAAACCCAAGGGAGATAACTCTTTCAAAAATCAAAATATTAAATCACACCTGTCTACTCATAGAGAATGTGTTTGGTCACACCAAATAATACAGTTCATTACCAGATGAAAGTTATTATATAGATGGGTCATTGTTTTCACTAGAAATTCAGCAACATGACCAGCATAATCTTATCTTACATGATAGTTGTTGAAATGATCGTCACACATTATATTTTTGATACCCAACAGAAGTACAACAACCAATAACGTGTTGTTGTCACATAACAATTTACATGTATTCTCACAATGATGTTTGCATAATTGCATAATATCAGCAGAAATTATCAAAGGTATTATAGATTGTTTTTTTGGTTGTTCAATATTTTGAATGCTGAAAATGTTGTTACTCATTATGACCAGATATTAGACTCGATCAGTTGTTGACAGGAATTATATATTGGGCATTGCTAATTTTATAAAAGTGATTTAAGAAACATTTTACATATTTAAAAACATTCACATAATATTTTTTTAAAGTTTCGGTCAAACAAAAACTATAGATTACACTAACAATTCAATCAAAATAAAAATGTTTTACCTACTGAAACTCCCAAACTAACGAAGTTTCAATCGAAACAGGTCAACACATGCGTTACCCCCTAAACCTTGTATACTACCTTCGAATCCAATTGATACATTCCCGATAGGGCTGACCTTGGAATCTGCCATGTCAAAGTCGAAGGCATCATGTCAGTAAACTATAAGGTTGATTTTAATTAAGGATCTAGCCAGATTAATACTGTCCGTTAACGATAAGGTTACAGTTAACTTGTAGGTCTGTCAACTTTACGGTTATAGCATCCAAAGCGATTCTTTTGATCTTCTTCAAAGACCTTGAATCAGGATACCGCAAGGGATCACGTAAAGAGCCTTCGATTTTGTCATGACATTTTGCCTATTTGTTGTAATTTGTATATGCAAATTCAATGATGGTTTGTAATGTAAATATAGCTTCAATAAATAGCAAAGACATTGTTGAAGTATATTGAACTGCTAATGGAATGTATGTTCTCAAAGGCATTTTCCAGCATACTGCAAACACAATTTTCTAGCTTAATTTTACAACTCTATATTCCTAAACTTTTGACTAGCTTTTTAGGTTTTTCTAGAGAAAGTCAAATTGATTCACTATGTAAATATATGGAAAGTCAGGATCAACATCCGTAGTCCTTGTATATATCTCAAGTATGAGTCAAAAATGACGGTCATACAGTTTGATTTACTCCCTGTGGTACTGAAGTCGTTTTACTTTATCAGTTCCATTTATACTTCCAAGCACCACCCACAGAACGTCCTGCCTGTCCACACACACAGCAAGTGGTCTGTCTTCTTCAGGATACATCAGTCCAAGGTATTGTCCATCACCACTCAGCAGATGAAGACAGTTGTTGTTATAGTCAGCCACCACCAATTGTCCAAATCTATCGTACGATACATCCCGGGGGTGGAAAGGCAGAGATTCAGGCCTACTGCCGTGTTGGTGTGGTCCGTACCTGTATATCTCCTGTAGATGTTTGCTTATCACTACAATAAGAGGTGGATTTTCTCCAACATCAATTGACCAATCTCCATCAAGTACAGCAACATTCCCACTGACCGGACACTCCGATATCATTCTTGGTGAAATCACTAGTGGTTTCTTTGAATGTGATGTTGACCTGAGGCTTGGCATCCCTCCTTGATTGTACTTGATGATTCCGTGTTTTATCCCCACAAGGACATGGTCATCTTTAGTGACACACAGACACGCTGGTTCATCCTTTGTGTTGAATTTACGGACCGATGTACTTGACGTTAGCCATGTCGCTGATTTCAGCCCCATGACACTGTTATCTTCCTGAGAGCATGCCCAAACTGTTTGTGTAGAGAGTGATATAGAGACGTTTGTTACTTTTCATCAACTCCATATGCCCAAACACCATCATCGCTAGCAGGACAGATCTTTATGATGTCACAGGGATAATCCCATTCTGACAGAACTTGGATCTTTGGACGAGGTGAGGCCAGTTTTGCTGAAGGTCGAGTTAGCTGTTGATCTGACGAACCAGCTGATGTGCCGACTTTAGCATTGACGTGATCATCTGTTCGACCAGATGAAGTCAAGGTCATTTTCCCTAATGCAGACGTCAAAGCTTCGTTGGGATGTTTGCTTTGACTGAACTTTGCGGTCCCCAGGACGGGTCTTCTAGGTAATGTGATGTCTGTATGAAGTCTACTGGTCACGTCAAACACTTGGATATCTGTGCCGTTCTGAAGGGTTTCCTTACAATGTGTTAGTTGATCCTTCAATTCTGCAAGTTTCTTTTCGAGTTCTGTCTTGTAACTGGTGAGGAGTTGTGTATTTTCATCTTCTAAATGTTTCAATTGTGAAAGTGTTTCATCAATTAAAACATCAACGTGTTCTGTTAGTTTCATTCCCTGGTTTTTGACTTCTTCTGATACATCTTTGAAATGGCTGAGGTGTTTTTCGAGACTCTCCTGGGCTGAATTGATTTCCTGTTGTATTTGAATCAGCTCTTTATTTTCTGTTTCATTGATGAACGTTTGTACTTTACGTTTGTTGTGTGGAGTAATTTCACTCAACGGGACAATGCCATGACCTTTGTGTAATGTTGAAATACAATTGGCACATATGCATTCATGACATTTCTCACAGAACCAGTCCAAAGTATTCCCTTTGTGATGTACGCATGTCGTATGACCTTGACCCCGGACAGCTATCTGTCCCTTATAGAAGGAAATCGCATTTCCTGCCATTTTACCTGGTTAAGAATGACGTTACAAGATCATAAATGTTTCCTCGAACGTAGAAATATTCAAGTAATGGAGACACTTCATATGTGTGGTAGCATTCTGTTCTCTCTATTTATGGTAACCAATGTTTTGTGGTAACACAATACAAACCTGTGATAGTCAATTACCTGTGGTAACTTATGTACTTTATGTAGTCAATGTTCAGTATTCTGTGGTAACACACTCCACAAACTCGGCTTGTATCGTAGGTATTTTTTACTGTAAAGATAAGATAATGAAAACCTTTGAGTGTGTATAACGACAGAAACCATATTGATTAATTATGGTACAAATGAAAGTTTAATTTTCTTAGATGGTTGAATTATAAAAAGCTGTCCATCATCATAAAATCTTCATTGGTTCTATTTGAGTTTGGTCTTTTATTTTTATCTTTTGGACAGAGTTAGGTCAATATAGAGTCCAAGGAACCAAATCAAAAATAGATTGTGGGTTTTTCTCTTTTGGGCAGAAGATGTGATAGGAAGGTGAATGCCTCGGGACCTGCTGGTTGGATATTTAGGTGGAAGAAGTTTCAAAAGTTTTATGTGTGGGTTGGGCAATATATATAGATGTGAAATGTATAAAAAAAATACTGTTCAAGTCTGTTTTTGTCTGGGGGAGTTTATTAAGTGTGTAATTTGTTGTAAGTTTTGGTCAATTCTTGGTGCCGAATTCAATACAAAATGGCGGCCCCTATATAAAAAAAACGTTCAAATAGGTACAATTTTTAAACTTCTTTTTTATAGGTGTGTGAGATGACATACTTCAAAATAAGGGCAGGTGAACTAGTGTGGATAATCCCATTTAACCAGGACAGTGGTAAACGTAAACATTATCGTCTATGGAAAATCATTTGGTTCTGCGATCCCTTTAGGAAGACACAGGATATGACGCTTTACACCATTCAGCGTCCCTGTACACCAGATGATGGTACCCATCAGCAGATTTCTGGATGTGAATCTAATCATGGATGTATTTTGGCAGAATTTAGAGGGTAAATTAGCTGCAGGAGGATACTATGATGGAAATATACACCCATGTAGAGTGTTGAGGGGGAGGGGGGCATGGACTAGGGAGGATAATTATGGGCGTATTGTGGTTAGATGGTCAAATGGACATAGAACAACAAAGAGAGTGCTCTGACTGTCACTGATGGTACATTATAGATTGCTGAAGGAGGATTTCCCGAGGAGGGACTGAGACGTCATGATTTTGGAGGTCAGTCATCTCTGCCACAACAGGCTTTTGTCTTGATATGAACCTATACATTTTTTTTATTAATAATCTATTTATTTATTCATCTTCCTTTCTTTCTTTCTTTCTTTGGCTTGGCTTCCCTCCTGGAGAGTACTTGATGATTCTGTTGTTCGTCACCACAAGGACATGACTATCTTTAGTAACACACAGGCACAAAGGTTTCTCCTCTGTGTTGAATTTACGGACCAATTTATCTGATGTCAATAACGTACCTGATTTCAGCTTCATGACACTATTATCTTCCAGAGAGCATGCCCAGACTTTTTGTGTAGAGGGAGACATACAGATGTTGGTTACTCTAACAGGACTCTTAATCTGCTGCTGTACTCTTCCCTCACTGGTCAGGTATGTCAAAGTTTTTCTATTTATTCCGCATGTCCAAGCACAACAATTGTTAGCAGGACAAATAGTTTTGATGTCACATAGACAATTCCATTCTGACAAAACCTCAATCGTTGGTAGAGGTGAGGCCAGTTTTGCTGAATCGGTAATCTCATCTGGCGTTTTTTCTGAAGGTATTGATGGCTGAAGATCCGGTGATCTAGCTGATATGTCGACTTTAGTAGAGACGTGATCCTCAGTTTTTCCAGATGAAGTCAAGGTAATTTTCCCCAATGCAGACGTCAACAATTCGTAAGGATTTTTGTTTTGACTGAACTTGGCAGTCTCTAGGACGGGTCGTTTAGGTAAAGTGATGTCTGTATGTAGTCTACTGGTAACGTCTAATACCTTGATATCTATGCCATTCTGAAGGGTTTCCTTACAATGTGTTAGTTGTTTTTTCAAATCTGCAAGTGTCCTCTCGCGTTCTGACTTGTAACTGGTGAGGAGTTGGGTATTTTCATCTTCTAAATGTTTCAATTGTTAAAGTGTTTCGGCTATAAGAGCATCAATGTCTTCTTTCAGTTTCATTCCTTGGTTTTTCACTTCTTTTGTCACATCCTTGAAATGGCTAATGTGTTTTTCCAGACTATCCTAGGTAGATTGGATTTCCTTTTGTGTTTGAATCAGTTCGTTTTGCTCTGTTTCATTGATGAATGTTTTATCTTATGTTTGTTGTTTGGAGTGAGTTCACTCAACGGGACAATGGCATGACCTTTGTGTGAAGTAGAAATGCAATTATCACATATGACGGCATGACATGTCTCACAGAACCAGTCCACATTCTTCCCTTTGTGGTGTAAACATGTAGTTTGACCATGACCCCGGAAAGATATTTGTCCATTAAAGCAAGAGATCGCATTTCCTTCCATTTCACCTGCTGATGAATAAAGAAACTACAATTATAACAGCTTTCTCAACCGTACAAATAGGCACGCGATGGAGAGATTAGTCCAAAGTGAGTAGAAGTACAAGTACACATTTCACAATATTTGGTAATCCATATACATTTCATTGTCAGGAATTCTTGGCTTATTCAAATTGGTTCGTATCATGTAGCCTTGATCATGCAAAAGGCACTTTAACTGTGTTTTATCTAACTACGAGTCATGAGACAAACTCTCATTTATTTTTAATTGTAAAAAAATCTACAATTTTATTTTAAAACCTTTCTTAGAATATTCTAAATCACATGTCAGCTATTTCTTAGCTATGTTGTTGAAAGGGTTTTGAGTAAATACACGGAGTAAATAGGCACACAACGTAAGATCCCAAAACAGACACAAAGAGGCTAAAAAGACAAACATTAAGGGTTATGCAACCAGCAGAGGGTCGTTTTTCGAACTGAATTGTTTAGTTTCTTAAAATGTAACAATCTGGTGACTAATTGCATAATTGCGTCGCCAGATTTTTATCATTATTGATATTATATCATTGGTCTATATGCCATTTTAAAGTCGTTAAAACGGCATATAGACAAATAAAATAGACAAATTAAAAACAGCCTTTATAAAATTGTGAAATTATTCACACGAGACTGAAAAGTTCGTTCTAGGTCAAGTAAGGAATATCCTATGGTCATCATGTTGCAGACTTACACTTCAATACAGGTCTTAATTTAAAACTATTGTTGAAAATGACTTTCATGTGTTACTTTGTCTGAAACGCCACCAATGTAAATCATTAATGTCATTTTTATATCTGAGGCCTTCTGTAACCAGTCCTCCTTTAACTTTTCAAATAAATATATTTAGGGATTATATGATCTGCTTGTATTTCTCTCTTTCAACAGTAGTTGAGAGCATTGAACTTCCAGCTTTGTGGCCCCTAGCATCACAGATAAGTTTGAAGAGGACAAACCAGTTGTATGATGCAGTGTTATTTCTTTTTAATATGTGTGAGATCTTTATCTACTCGTTCGAGTTTGAAGTCCAGCAAAGACATGTTATCTACTTTATTTACGCAGTAATAAATCAGAAACATATAGCCGGATGTATCTTACGTCTCCTGTCCCTATATACCTAACTACATTTTAATGAAATATAATTGATAACGATTTCAACTTAAAAGATATTTTTTTATGCAAGTATTAATAATATTGTGTACAATACTGTATGTACATATATGGGTACAAAAATGCATGATAGCATATTTGATTTATATAATTTAACGCTAACCTAGTTTATTATTAGTGAATTATTTCACTATCACACCTTTTCTTCTTTGCGGTTTTATCATTATCGTTTCAAAGAATAAGGTGGATTTTAGGTTTTCCCAACTTGTATCTGATCCCATTCGTGTTTTTGCAAGTAAGATATGTTAAAATCGGAATCAAAGTATGTTAGTTAGTATTTGAAGAGCGTGAAATCAAAGAATTCGGCTGACACAGAAAACAATCATTTACATGTACATTTTTAGACTTACTGCGGTCCTTTGAATGACCATTGTGTGCTATATTTAGAGTATACAAAAGGATTACAGGGTCATGTAAGGCAATGCAGTATATTTCAATATCTGTTTTGAAAATAAAAAAAGTAATGTCACAGGTTTCGATAATATATATTTTAATGACAAAATATGTAATAAGTTGACCAGTATTCATGTGTTATTTGAGGTCAACACATCATTAAAATTAATTTCATAAAACGTACAGACAATGGACCCATAAGGTCACGTGATGTACCCTTAGGTTACTAAAGCTTCATGTGCTACACTGAGGTCAAACATATGTTTAACAAGTTATGTTATCATCACAGTGAAGTCATTAAAGGGTCATGTGATAGACATCCCGAGGTCATTGAATGGTCATGTGATAGACATCCTGAGGTCATTGAATGGTCATGTGATAGACACCCTGAGGTCATTAAATGGTCATGTGACAGACACCCTGAGGTCATTGAATGGTCATGTGACAGACACCCAGAGGTCATTGAATGGTCATGTGACAGACACCCAGAGGTCATTAAATGGTCATTTGATAATAATTCAATTTCAAATTAACCCTAATGTTACTACCTGCTATTTTGAAGGGCAACATAACAGGTATTTTGTTTTATGTATGTAATATGTATAGATTTGTATTCATAAGGCTTGAATGTTAAACATAATCTGTTCAATCCTAAATGCATCACCACTGGACTGCAGGGTTAAAGGTTAAGGTGAGGGGACAAAAGTCAAAGCTTGCCTCGACGATACGTTTTGATTAGCTGATAGGTGAGCTTATTACACGGAGTTACACGGCACTCATTGCAAATTCAAAGACGTAACATGACTAAACAGTTTGTTATATATCAATTTCAGGTTCATACCCAAAGGGATTAAATGTTAAGTTCTTCGGATGTTTTTCTGTGTATAAACATCTGCATAATATGTTGACAAGATAGTGTTATTGATCTCTGTGACTATTTTAAATCGATGTTAGACAAGAAATACCGATGTATATTCGCATTTTCAATCGCTATTTAAACCTCAAAAAAAATCAATAAATATCTAAATTAACATTGAACACTCACTGCACAATTCTCTCCATTCGTTTAAACAAATCAAATTAGGTTTTATTAACGACGCACTATTTTAACAAGTATTATTTGAAATACGCACTATTTTAACAAGTATTATTTGAAATTGCCAGTATAAAGATACAACGAATTTAGTCGACACCAAAAATAATTCATATGAGTTTAAACTGGATTTGTTTGCAACTCTCTGGAGGATTGTTGTGTTTCTACATTTATAGTATACCCAGTTCTGACAGTTTAATTTAGGCAATCTAGGGTATTTTATATAAGTAAATCAGATCACATATTAAATTGAAATGTATTTTGAATGACATTATATTTAATAAGTGTATACGACTTCATCTAATAGACCATAAAACGAGCTCTATTAAACGGCATATAATGGATCAATATGGAGGTTTTTTGATGTTATACACCTTTTGGTCATTAAAAGGTCATGTGATAAACACCATAAGGTGGTTAAAGGGTCATGTGATATAGACACACTGAATAATGAAGGTGTCATGAAATAGATACACCGCATCATCACAGGGTTATGTGATAGACACCACAAACCATTAACATGTCATGTGCTAGACACCCAATTGCAAGATCATTACAGGGTCGTGTAATAGACATACGAAATTATTAAAGGGTCATGCGATAGCCACCCCAAATCATCAAAGGGTCATGTGATAGACATCCCAAATCATTAAAGGGTCATGTGATAGACATCCCAAATCATTAAATGGTCATGTGATAGACATCCCAAATGATAGACACCCCAAATTATTAAATGGTCATGTGATAGACACCCCAAATCATTTAATGGACATGTGATAGACACCCCAAATTATTAAATGGTCATGTGATAGACATCCCAAATCATTAAATGGACATGTGATAGACACCCTAAATTATTAAATCGTCATGTGATAGACATCCCAAATCATTAAAGGGTCATGTGACAGACACCCCAAAATATTAAATGGCCATGTGATAGACACCCCAAAATATTAAATGGCCATGTGTGATAGACACCCCAAATCATTAAATGGACATGTGATAGACATCTCAGATGATTATATGAACATGTGATAGGTATCCCAAATCGTTTAAGGATAAATACCTTATGGTCATCATGTTTCAGACTTCCAAATCGGTCAAAGCTTAATTAAAGGCTATTGTAGACAATTAGTTACATGTCCCTACATATTTAAGCCATTAATACAATATCTTATATGTGTCAATTTCTGCTGCCAAATGAGTTATAATTATTAGAGCATCAACAGTAACTGAGACATAATTCAACATCATTTCAACAACAATAATCTTACCTATTCTGTTGATGAGGTGAATCGTCCTATCTGTCGATGCTTCAAATAGTCTAATGGTGGACAAACATAGTCGGCACGAGACCTGTGTCTACCCGACCAACGTTTTTTACATTCATCTTCAGATATGATATCTTGTTCATTTGTGCACTAGTAAAACAGCTCGACACATATTAGGCCGGACTTTACATTTGCTATCCTTGTTGTATACCGATATATATAAGTGTATGTAGGTGATGTAAGTGTGATAACAAAGATTGAAGTAAATACATTTAACAATAATAGATCTACGTATCTTTTTATGTAGATTTGATGTGGGTTCCTAAAAGACTGTCGTGTTGTTATATGTGCTAAGAGAGAGAGAGAGAGAGAGAGAGAGAGAGAGAGAGAGAGAGAGAGAGCTCCTGAAAGGATTATGTTATAAACACACTCAAGTCATAAGAATGATACACACTCTGAAGTCATTAAAAGGGACAATTAAATGAAGTACGTTTTTTCAATCTTGTCACAAAATTCTTCGTAATAATATAGTTTGATATTCCTTATGAACAATTCATGTCGAAAAATTGATAAAAGACAACGTTTTCGTTGCGTTTTTAATCAGTAATGAACAAATTCTAAACCGCACAACAATACGTTTTAGCGGCCGTTGTCTCAATCATCGTTATAAATGAGTAATTTATTTTACGTTTAAACCTATTGATATCGTTCTTACTGCGGTTTGAAACTCGCCCTGCGGTACCCTCTCAGTGCTTGCATACTCTAATGAAACATCTTTGTTTGTATTCAAAGCCAATTGTTAATGGAAATATCAGATTATATTTATATAGTATTATACTTATAACTCTTGCTTGCGATATATGTGTTACGTGTGAAATAAGACTCATAACTGACGCTGTGTTGTCGTTCGACAGCGTGGCATTGCACATGTTTAATTCTCAGAGAAAGGCCCGGATATTGCGCTATTACGGTCGTAGCTATTTTTATCACCGGCTTTCCCAAAAGATGAAACTGACCACACTGGACGTTGGCTTCAGGTCATGTCATTATTAACCACTTAAACTTTCGTTAGGAGATACATATTTTCAGTATCGACTCGATTTTCAGGTTGTCATTTGACTAAATAGTCACTTTAAAGGGTCATATTAAACCTCCAGTGAAAATCCAGTAATCTGATTGGTAGAGATACATGAACATTGTTCAATTCACACTGTCATATTCGCTTTAACATTGGGTCAATCGGAGGGTGCTTCCCAACGCCCTAGGAACGAGTGACAGTGTGTGTGTGTGGCAGTGCATTATAGTGACCGCGCAAATGAAGATGAGCGTTTTGGCCGCAATGGTTTTGCGTTGCAAATCATCGTCCATGTAGGTCCACAGGCACTCCATGTCGCTAACGTGTATATCTTACCAGTGATTATAACGCCGACGTAACGATGAGATGGGTGAGATTTACAAGCGCTCCATTCACGTGGTAGTCAGGATGAACAATCGGCCGAAGCTGTTTGGTAACCTAATCGTCGATTTCAATAACTACATTGTTATCTAACGGCCATGGCAATTCACAATGTTCATACAATAACTTTATTGTTAAAGCTTAAATAGTTCGCTGTTAAATTTGTTGAAGAAATAACTATATTTGTTACAAATTTGAATATTTCTTAATTATATTAACTTTCGGTATAATAAGATAAAAACAACATTCATTAGAGTGTGACAGTGATATCACTGTTACCCTATAATGAATGTAGTATTTATATAATGTGATTCACACCCTGAGGTATTGTGAGAGACAAGCCGAGGTCAATAAAGAGTTTTTGTATAAGCCACACTGATAGGTCATCAACAAGTTATGTGATAGACACTCCGAGGTCAAACACTTTAATAGACACATTGACGTCAAGTGTAAAATATGACCGACACATTGAGGTCATTAAAAGGTATTGTGACATCTTTGTATCATTTCAAGGTCATTAAAGTTCGATTGATAGACACCTCTTATCCATGTTACCGTGTTTGAATAATCTGTGAATTATTAGTTTGATACAATATTTTCATTGAACCCATTGGATTTTGAAAATTCAATAATTCTACTCATAACAAATAATTCATTACTTTTTAGGACTTCATACGAAGCGTCCATCTGAAATATGTAGATACATTACTCTCTTAGGGTCATTAAAATGTCATGTTGTAGACATTGTGTCATATTTTAGAACCATTGTAAAGAGTTTCTTGCTTAATTATCAACCATGCTATATATAATATTAATTTATACTTTCATCCAGCCCTGAGATAAGAACACAGATACAATAAACAATTCGACGTCATGATAAAGGGTGAACGTTCATCCATTGCAAGTCCGATGTCTCGTCATAAATAAGCATTGTGTTATACGACAATGTCGTGTTCATATTACCCCAAAAATAGAATGGGGTCAAAGTTGAACTATTCTAAGATGTTTTGGTACAAAAACGTCTGCATATTTTGTTATGAAACTTAACCATTTCATGTATTATGACTAAACAATGTATCATGGTACCCATTATTTTAAAATATCCGTTCTGGCTCGTCTCCTGCAAACCGCTTCCAGTGTCTTGAACTACATTTAGACTCAAACCCATCGAAAACCACTAAAGCATCAAGCCCTACCCATTCCACAACTTCCCCCGCCCATTTTTGGTGCTGAAACAAAAACTGTACTCACCGGACATTGGAGTTGGGGTAAAGGAGTTACCTCCCCTGTTAGATTTAAACTTTTTGACCAATATCATGACAGACAGTTTATTATATGTCTTTGTATCACCATCACATTAATAGATGTTTTTATCAATTTTATCAAAACCTATGGCAAGAACCACAAATTCTTCTGTGGTTTTTTTCGCTTAATTTAATAATGGAAATGATTCTATAAAAAAATGGTTGAACTGTCAGTATTGAACTACATGATGTTGTGTAAAATTTAATCATGTAAAATTGCTAAAAGTAAATACATATTCTCAAAGTGTTTTACGAATAAAAGGCCTTTCTAAAGAACTCAGGAATTTTAAAACTATTATTGCAAAAACTTAGCACCAGGTAATTGAGGTTAACAACGCAATAATGTTCACCCCGTAACAGTATCGAATTAACGGCACAATGTGACAAAAAAATGTTATTTTATAGCATTTATGACCATGTTTTACAATATGATATAAAAAATAAAGGGTTTTAACAGACTGATCTCGTTTGATACATGCAAAATAAAGTAATTGAGTGTCAAAATAAGCAGTATTTTCCATTTCGCTCACTACCAAACTACATATGTAGCATTGTTTGAGTTTACTAGGACGATACGCCAAGCGCAGTTAAAGAAGGTATATAACCAATTTATTCTTTGATAAAGTGCAATCGTTTGTACAAGTATAATGTAACTGTTATGGGGTTTCTTTAAAACTGATAAATTTAATATAGTGTGTAATGCGCATTCCCGCCTTTGACAATATAGTAGTTGGTCGGCGTGATCAAATATATCTATTATTAAAAAAAAAACAATGACAGTGACAACTAATTTTAATTTGCTGTATTTATTATTATTTGAAGACAAGCAGAGCAAAGAGAGGTAAAATGAGGTTGATAGGAACAAGCTGTTTATCGGCAGGAAACACTCGGGCAGACCGCGTCTGACAGTTCATTACAGGACCTGTGTCAACGAAAACAAAACAAATGGACAATAAAAACATGCTGATTATTACTATATTAATTCCTCAATTTAAATCAGCTTAACTATACACTGGTATGCTTAATTTTTCAAAATCAAGGGTTTTAAAAAATGATGTGTTTTAATAGAAATGTTTTTGATTATACAAATGTATAGTATGCGATTGTTCATTTCGAATCCAAGAGTTTTAACTTATGCTTAGCAAAAACAAAATATGTGTGCTTCAGGTATTACGACCTAACCTAGGTTTTCCAGCCGACTGAAGAAATTTAATTACTTTCTTGTATATAAGATTAATAACTAGCTTTGCAAAACTCACAGCACGAAAGAGATTTTTTTTTTTGAAATGATAGGTACGATACACATGTATGATAAATATTCTAAATGAAAGGATTAAAAAGCTTCAAGCGCTCTTTTATGTTTTTGGGTAATACAGGTGATTCATATGAATTGCCCATACCATGGTGGAATCAAGAGAAGGGATTTGTTTTGGCGGTGATAATGGCTCGTCTGTTAACTCAACAACATTTTCGTCGTGGTCTTCCGCTTCACCTATTCCGTTACTTTTCTCTGTTTCACTTTGCAGCTGGTCAGCAATCTTACGGATCAATGCCGCCGCCGCACTGGGTCCTCTCCTACGGCTTATACTCTGAAATGGGCTTTGACCAGCGTAATTTCCACTGAAGATTTAAATAAAAATGACTGAATAAAACTACATATACTATAACATGTGACAAATATGGGTGGTTGGATGCCGCAATTGATAGCGCACTCGCCTTTCACCTAGACGATTGCACGATCGGACGTGATAAGATATGGTATCACCTTCCCGACCTCCTGGACTTTCTCCGTGGACTCCTTTTTCCTAACACATTAAGACCCCACGCGCTAACATCCGTCAAACAAGAGTTATTAAAATAAATTAAACTTAATATAAAGCAATAAATATATAAATTTGTTAATGATGAATATATAAATATATATGAATGAATAAATAGATGATTAAATATTAATACAAACTAAAATTTGCAAATTGGGCATTTATTGCGTATCAATATTTACAAAGTAAAATTTGCTTGCTGCATCAACCATAGAATATAAACTAAAAGGTTTTAGAGGAAGCTGAATACTTCATATTGGCGTTTTGTTTACTTTGATTGCAAAATTAAAACATATTCAAACATTTAGGAAATGCTTTGATTTATTTCACCAGTCAAAACATCACAATCCTATCTTAATCTTGTAAATGGAAAACTTGTTAATATTAGGGATTTATGGAAAAACGTAAATAAAGAAATAAATAAATAAAATGGGATTCTTACGCAGGTCCGTACTGACACACAACGTATAATGCATTCTCGAAGATTATCCCTCCAGCTTCTATCGATGCACACCTCTGAGTACCACATCCTAGTGCCGTGGACTTAGACCATATCACCTGTTCATTTGGTATATTACAGTGAAAAGTCTCAAATAAAGAGTTAATAACCACAAATATGTATATTACAGTATCTACCGGTCCTTCCGATATTACCGGGTATTATCGCTAAAACCCCTGTTGTTGTTGTTGGAGGCGCATCGTAACACACTCTCTATATGACAACACAAAATGAAATGAGTTTTTCTTTACCTACGACTTAAATTATTTTTGAAATCTTATTTTGAACTTATTTTCAACCCAAACATCTACATGCATATACTATACGTTTAAGATATATTACTATAAATAGAAGTACAAGGGATCCCTATCCCACTGCACTGTTTTGTTGTTTTTATTTTTAATGCAGTTATCTCCCCTTAATTTCGTTTTGGATGTAACTTGTACATTTCGGCCAGCATACTTCCGTTGCCTAGGAAGCTCCATCGGTTAGAACGATATGTATTCCCGGGGTCTAATCAAGATCTATCCAGAAATTCAGAAGCATTAATGATGATTTAAGTGTGTCTAAACATATTTTCGTATTCTTAAGATACTCTCGCCCCCCACAATGGTTTTAAAATGCATTAAAAAATATTTATGTATTAAAACAGAAGTCCTGTTTCGTGTACAGATTAGTTTTTGGGGGACTGGAAGCTACAGCAAAGCTGATATGTTTTCTTAACAATCATTTTAATGAGGAGAAGGATCTGATTCCTCGAAAAATATTAAGCTCTGACTGAATATTTGCCCAAATATTTCGACTTTTTTACTTAACACATATGAGTGACAGATACTATTTGTAAATGCATCTTGTGATCAAAGCAATACAAATTATTTTGATATCAGAGAGCAGCATTTCAGTGATACATATTCATATACATTGGCTCATACATATCAGTCAAGTAATATATTGGATTGTATCCCGTAAACAACGTTTCTTTTCAATATCAAAATACTTAAGGAAATGAATCTGCCCCAATATAATTTTGCTTCACTCATATGGAATAATACAAATTGATTCGTTGAAATCATAAGGAATATATAAATTAATAAATACAAAAATAAATATACATGGTTCGATACTTTTTAATATATATTGAATTAAATAAAAAGCGAGAAAGAAAACTCTGAACGAAAAATGCATAAAAACTGAACTGCCAATATTTGTTATACAAATTGATTCGTTGAAATCATAAACAACATTTCAGTTCAATATCAAAATACTTAAGAAAATGAATCTGCCCTAATATAATTTTGCTTCACTCAAATGGAATAATACAAATTGATTCGTTGAAATCATAAACAACATTTCTGTTCAATATCAAAATACTTAAGGAAAAGAATCTGCCCTGATATAATTGTGCTTTACTCATATGGAATAATACAAATTGATTCGTTGAAATCATAACACGATTCGATACTTTTTAAATATATTGAATTAATCAAAAAGCGAGAAAAAAACTCCGAACGAAAAATGTATGACAACTGATCTGCCAATATTTGTCAACAATGGTGAAGAAAAATTTGTTTTTGAAGGGGAAAACATTTAGCACACTCAATAGTAAACTTTGTGTTGCTTACAAATTTTTCAGTCACGTGCCTGTCTCACTTATGTATCATGCTGAATTGTTTGCTATACATACAATTGAATTTGCGTGACGTCACTAAGTTACTTTAAGTCGTGTTGCTAAAGATTGAATAGTGTGATGGATTACAATACCTGTGTGTAATGGCCACATTGTTTTCCAGGTGTACAGGACAGGTTAGATCTGTTATAATCGCTCTTCTCTTTGTACCAGTTGCTCACGACGTCTTCTAAATTAGGATTACCTAATTCAAACGAAAATATCAAAGTATCAACAAAATCGTGATTCGAAATAAAAACAAAAACAATGAAGCTTATATAAACGAAAGGAAGATATACACGGAGACCCTTGGAATATCCCAAGGAAAATAAAATTGGGCGTTCCGGAAGGGTAAGTGTATTTTGCGTCATTGACGCGCTCGCATTATGTTTGTTTTTGAAAGTAAATATTCTATTATAATGTCTATTCCATGTATTCTTTGTAGGCAAATGTAAAGAACAAAACTGCTGTATTCGTTCGCATATTGTTTGTAAGAGGCGACTAATGGGGGACCTCCTGCAGAATCGGGGATATTTTTTATCTGCAGCCTCAACGCACATTTCAGATCTAAATATTTCCTATTCTCACTTTGCTATTTTCTTTCCGAAGTGTACCACAGCCTGGAACCTGTCCATATATGATCCTGGCTGTTGCGGGGACGTTAAACCCCAAACAAATAAACAAACATAATACCTTTCATATAACAGTGTGTTTTGTGGATAAGTTAAATCACATGACGTCACACTAAACTATTATGACGCCCCTGCGCCCGATTGTTTCTCTACGTGATCAAGATTTGGACATTGCTATCTAACCATTGTTACAATGATTTGTTGTTTTATTTCAGTAATATATATATATTTACCATCCATGTTATAATGAAACATCGACTTTTGTTTACAATCGATCGGTTATGCTCCCCATGTCATTTATTATATATTGTTATATTATGGATATCAAACAGATTTTTTTTAAGTTTTGAAAAGTGTTGTAAATTTTCATTAATATGTTAGATATCATTGAACTATTTTAAGAATATATGAAAATATCAGAAAAATATGACTCATGAGACTAACAACCTATTCGAATTCTTACCTGTGCCCAGAAATAAATTTTCTCCAACTGAACTGTAACTTGCAATGTTTTGTCTCTCTGAATAGGCGCTATGACCAAATATACATTTACTTGCGTATTTGGCAGCATTCTGTGCGATCGTCTCGTCATATCTCTGGAAAATGAAACGTGCAGAATTGCCGAAACAATATGTATATTATATAAAAACATATTATTATACATAAATTCTATTAATCAACGAGTTAGCATTCTAATTCATATCGTACTTAAACTCCCGCATTTAACAGCACACTCATTTTGTCCCATTTACTTAGTCTGCTTATCATAAATGAATGATCTTTAAATGAAAAGATTTCGATGTTGCACCTTGTTTTGGAAGAGAAACAAAATGGTCATGATGGTATCAATTTACTAATGGATGTCCCGTCATTTTATGTTTGATCTTACAGTTTTTCACACCGAATAAAAAATATGTTATTTAAACCAAATTAATCAAAACTCGATGCATTGTTACATACCATTAACGGAACGCCCTCTATCTTTCGATACTTGTTGTGTGCTTCTAACAAGGAAAGACTCTTGGCTCCGGTGAACAGAATTCCCGCCAAAAACACGTACAAAAGTATCGTCTGCATCGTTTTGTACTGATGGACCTGGTGTCTACAGTCTGTAGTTGATATGTTTTCTGTCAAAGTTTGCAGCAAAGACAGATAAGCGAGCTAATTTATAGGGATGCTAGATAATGGTGTGAGCAGCGAATCAATTAAGTCGCACTTCCGGTTAATTAATATGCATACCAACCATGGGAACTGTACGTGATAATCAAGTCGTGAATTAACTTGTTATTAAAATGTTGCACTGATAAATGCCAGGATGTCACAGCTAGATTAAAAGCTTCAATTCATCAGTGACACTTATTTAGTTATTTGGATTAAAATGATTGCATATTGGCATTTTTTTGGAGGTGCTGTTTGATATCTCATTATCATAGCAGATTGATTTTACTACATGGGTGTGTTATTTGCGTCAGGCATTACGCTGTGACGTGACCTATTGCCATATCGCCGCACAAACACGAGTTACTTTAATGACAGCGGTGTGGTTAGAAGACATGTAAGATACAAACTATGATTTAAGCTGGGATTTATTTGTAATGATGACATTTTATCAATAATTAAACTGAAAATGAATTTATTGCGTTACATGTAACAACTGAGATGCATCAAGCTTCATTACACCTAAGCTGGCACTTTTTTTCAGAACCCAAAATTCTCTTTATACTCAATGTGTGAGATGATTCGACAGCTATCCATTTCCATACCTAAAACCTTAGACATTAACTAGTTAAAAAATGTCCCTTTCTTCGAATATTAGTTTAATTTCCCTTTCTAAAATAGTAATAAAAAATGTTTAACACAAGTTTCCACGGTTCCATAACGAGTAAGCAAAATTGTATCAGCTTAGAGGAGAGCTATCTTGACAACACAGATTTGTCCATGGTCTACTGACAAAATAATATGGTATATTTATATCTAGTTTGAAACAATTTTAAAATGTGTTTTCTCAAGCTAGTCGAATACCTGAATACATTGTTGAAATTGGTCTACATTTTCTAAGCAGGTAGTTTTATCTTGTCTTGAATTATATTTATTAAATATAAATATTTTTATTTCTACTGAATTTAGACTCAGTATACCTACAAGAATATATTGTTTCCTCCGCTTCAACATTCCAGTAAGCTAACGAATACGTCAGCAAATTAGTTCGAGAACCACTTCTTGTTATACATTATTTCAATTTTCACACGGAGATTGATGACGTCACATGCGTTGGTACCTTTTGTGGCATAGACTTGCACACGTCCAATGTTTTGGAGTTATATAAAAAAAAGCATTGAATTTAAATAGTTGTACTGAATCCTCGTAGATCATATCAAAATGTCTCAAGACTGCTCGAGGTTTATACCAAATTATATTTCAACAGAACATGATTCGATCCTTTAATAATTGTTGTGGAAGCAAATTATTGAGATGATGTATATTATACATTATATAGATTAGTAAAAACATCCTCCTTAAGTTTCTTATACATAGAAAGTCGGCATTACATTAGATGAGTAGCATGCGACGGTATTTCAAAATATATTTTCCATATGGTTAAAACCACTTTTAGAGTGTCAAACTACAATTTACAGTTGTGTTCTAGTAAAAGGATACATGACCCCGCTAACATCTTAAATACTTTATTTTCTTATCTAACACATTGTGCATTGTAGGGAAGACTGATACATAGCTCTTTACACAAGATTTATATATTTTATTGAATGTGCTTTCCATTTACAATCTGAGCTAAAACGTAGGACAAATAACATATTTTGATGTTAGCCACTGTTTCGATTTAATTTTCATCCGAGTTAAAATTGTTTCGAAATACCTAATCAAGTTTCATGAACATACATAATGACACGTCATCTGCAAATATTATTGAAATGCAATGAAAATTATTGCCATTGTTATTTGAATAAACTAGAAAATGTCATTGCCTTCTTGCCTCGTTGTGGACATATAAATACCAATAGTGACCCCAGCGTTGACCTTATTACCCTATATTTCGAACACTTAAGAGGACCATTTGGCATTTGTTAAACTTTCATCACAGTCTGTAAAAACATGAAGTCGATAGATTCATAACAATGGGTCCGGAAACAATGATCTGATCTGACAAGAAACTGTATAATGGATCATCAAGTCTCATGAGTTTTCTCCGTTTACTCTTTCTTCTTTTTTTTAAAGCATTTGCTCGCATCCATTTTAGCCAGCATGAAAACTGTGAAATCACCATATTTTCGTAGTTTGTTTTTAAATTTCGTTTATGTTGTGGGTAATTTTCCTCCACGAACTCGTAGGTCAACGATGTAGTTTCAAGTTTGATATAAAGCGATTCTCCATTTGAGTGGGTGCCCGTAATCCAAGAGCTCATGTCCCCTCGAAATGGTGTTTTGTCGGTAAACCTCGACATTTGGGTCCCACGAAAATGCTGTCCTAGGTGCCTTCGTCCTGGTATTTCAGTGAGGTAGCGCTATGAAGTCGGCATAAGATCTGCACTATTACAAGGAGGCAAGCACACCAACATACTCTGCCTCCAGCATACATACACATAAGCATGAACTGATAATACATTTTGTAATGCACATAGAGAGGCACGTCCTTAAATGATTTTAGATGTTGATAGGACGTGAAACCCTTTAAAAACAGACCATATCAACGAAATATCTTGTATGTATATGTTATTAGCTATTTCAAAATATCAAAAGATATTACGAGCTATTATGGAAAGTTGATAACATTATTACATTATATTAATCTTATCTTTACATATCAACATCCAGCCAGTTAAAACGATACACATGTATAATTGGGTTATTTAGAAATTGTATATATTTTTATTTGGTTAACATTTTTAAGGCTTCTGTTTGTCTTGATTAATCTTGTAACTGTATTATTAACAAGATTCATCAACGGGAAATCATAATAGAATTGACTACGTAGAAAATATAAAGAAACCAAAAAAAACACAATGAAATATTCAAACTATATATAATTCAAATATTTTATTGCATTATAAGTTTATCAAAAACAAAATTATTATCAAGCCATGCGATTTTTACATTAATGGATCTATACATATACATATTTCATAAATAACAGTTATAACATTTATAGAATTGTAGTCCAAATCCAAATAACAAGTTCAGCATCGTCAGCACCGTAACATTCGTCTCTTTCTGTGCAAACATATTAGGAATATCTCAACGAAGACGGACACTGGAGTCATGAAGCACAGGAACAAAACCTAAAGTAGAATAAATAACAAAGTTTTGTTAGCGAAGCAAGGATTTTCCACCAAAGGATTTGTACTCTACCTTGCAGAATTGACGGACATTATGAAGTGATTTCCTTTACTGATTGATACTATGAAAATCAATACATAATCTGTAATAATAATTATAAAATCATGTTAGTTTGTGGGACTAACAGGGACAATGGTTGACAGTGTTAAATGTGGCAGGATGTGGCAAATGACTTCCCTTTGTTCGCCTCTGACGGTTTGGTAGGGGATGATAATTTCTGAGTTAGCTTTTGTGTATAACATGTGTGAGTTCTCGAGCTTCCGTTTAGGCTTAGTCTCCGCCTGTCGGTGTAGGTTTTTGTCTTCCAATTCATTTATCGGATAGCAGTACATTTTAAAGAGGAAAAGGATAAAAATAATCACGTGAGGGCTGCATTCGAGTAACCATAAAGACGCGTGTTTACAGTCGATAACAATCTACTGCAGTGGCTACCCTGCTTTTGTCACAAACTGTCTATAACTATTATCTGTGTATAGCAATATTAAACCCGGCACTAGAGACGTTATGTCTCATCCCACGATTACAACCACCTTAACATTATTCAAGTATTTCTTTAATTTGCATTCGCAACTTATCTAATCAAAGTGCCGAGGGCACTCAGGGATGCTGTGTATGAAGGATTCAAATAATGGAATAAAGGAGATGGTATATCAGTACAGAATGGCAGTAAATAATAAAGAACATGTTGTTAAGTAAGGGTCAAAATAGCCCATCCCTTAATTATAATTTTCAATAAAAATATAAAAAACAAGCAGAGTATTGCTAAAACAATATAGATCCCTTACTGGCTACCATTAGCAGTATAAAAATAAGAAACGATGACCTTGACCCAACAGCCCTGAAATTGAAAGTTGTCTGATATTCTGGTCCTTAATTAGTGTAATGAAGCTGCTACAGAGCACAGACAATGATCTTTTCCCAGTGCGTGTAATCACGGACTAATGCAAGCCGCTTGTGTATCTCTCCTTCTCTCGATATTGTAACGAAGGTTAAAGACCTATATAATTATTCAGTTTCTGGTAAATGTGAATAATATGTATATACGGTTTTAATTTTTGATGTTCAATATGCTATATTCGCGAAGCACTTGTATTATACTAATCGGGCCATTATCTAGAGACTGTATTGGGAAGCTATCTACAAACTCATTAGGCACAGCTGCTGTCGCATTGGGAAGCTATCTATAAACTCGTTAGGCACAGCTGCTGACGGCTACTTTAGTATACGTCAACATTCTCTTTCACTTGGAGACTTTCCATTGAGACAAAGAAAACACGAAGCCTACATTATCAAGGTCAATTATCAAACAGTCGTTCAACAGGTCGCGAGCATGAAACTACGCAATGATGGACAAGGGGAGAAAACTTTAACACACACACTTAAGAGTATTGGAATACGAGGCGTAGTAATTTGAACCAAATATAGTTCGGAACTTTCACTGATTAAAAACGCCACTGTTAAAGATCTTTACATATTTTCTTTGATTTTTTGTCTTATACAGATATATTTTACCATATTATACCATTGATCGTATCATGAAATAATGAACACATTATCTAAAGATCTTTCGCGTAAGGAGATAAAGTGTTGTTGTTTTTTTGTGAAGAAATTATTCGGTTCAAAAAGCGTAGTAATCTGAGATTGATATAGTTCATGATGCTCACTGAACATTTTCTCTTTGATTTATTGATCGTTTTCATATGTATTTTCTCATTTTATAGCATTAATCATACCATAAAATAATCTACACAGCATTTAAAGATCTTCCGCGGAAGCAGAAAGTCTGTTGTTTGGTTTTGATTTGCCCAGGCTTGGCGAAGACCACAACGAATGCTGTACACAGCATCCAAAAACAACTCAAACCTATTAATTGTCTATGTTATGCTTGAAAACATGGTACAGCAATGTGCTATCTTAATCCAGTCACTGTTTTAAATGTGAATTGATTGACTCGGCCATTTACTAGCTATACGATGTAAGAAAGCACCGATATAAAATTTGGTTCGTCTATCTATGGAATCGAACAAAGCTTACATTTTACTTCACCATATGACCAGTTGTACTAAAGGTAAAGGTAAATAAATGGCCAATCATGTTCAAATTGTTCTGAAACACAAGAAAAATACAATGAAAAGTAAAAGATGCAGTTACATGCATATTAGGATTTTACCCACAGAGCTTTTCCGGTAAGTATGATTGATTTATCAAACATAAAAAAATTCTCAAAAATTCTCATTTATTAAAGTATTCCTCATTTTGCCTACAGATGGCGCTTCAGTCAAAAGCATAGCCTTAATGTTAGAACTACCCATAAATATCAGCAAATACCTGTATAAATTCAGCAGGAATTTTGAAAAATATGCTTCTTCATAGCCCGATCATATGGACTTAATATATGTAATAACTCTTGCGTTTCATTTTTATGTAAGAACAATTCTAAATAGATAAAGGACTAGATCAGTGAGTTTGACCTTTGCCAAAAATTTAAACTTATACTTAAGGTTTTGGAGATAGTTTCGGATCTTTTCTGGAATCATTTACAAACAAACAACCCTGTCTTCCTCCCTGTTGAGTTATATCTCCACCCCCCCCCCCTCCCCCCTTCGACTTTCGATCAAAATAGTGTTGCCCTTACCAACACTGAGCTAACAGATCGTTCCACTTCTGTTCTGTAAATTAAGGGAAATTAACAGTATTTATGAAAACGTATGCTAGAATTCTTCTGTATTTTGTTCACTGCAGTGGAACAGATGCACTTAAAATATGTTTCTTTCTATAGTCTTCAGAGATTTACCTCTTTGTCTGATTCACATGGTACTGTCTGTTTCTTGTCGATGATTGGGTATTGGAACACAGAGTTGTGATTGGCTGACAGATCTGTCACATGGTTTCGGGAATGTGATTTGCGTCTGCTGACATTCTTCCTCAGACAAAATTCAGGTCCGTTGGCAAACCCGGGATCAAGGCCTCTCCTAAAATGTATAACAAGATATACGTACATGTTACACACACAGGTAAGTGCACCTTAAAAATTTGGTAAACAATACAATTTGCCGAAAAATAAATTACACTGCATTTTACAGCTGATTCGTCCTTCTAGGACTCATTGGTGATGCGAGGGACCAAACAGATTAAATCTGGATTGTCTAAATAACTGTAAAACATCCCTTAACGCATGAATTGTAAAATGAAGAGGAGTACTGATTTCCAATAACATCATCCCTAAAGTGTGTATATTCTTAACCATGCCACTACTCAACAGAGATAATTGACCATCAAGGTTATGGCAAACCAACGGGGACTAAAACATCTACTGGCAGAGTGTACACCTTTAACATTTGATAATATATACAGTATGCCAACAAATAAATGACACTGCATCTTAAGTGGTGATATTGAGAATAATAGGGATGCATTGTCAATGAATTAATGGTAAATCTTCGAAAAACGTAACTATTGTCCATATATCATCATATTTACATTTAGGTTATTGAAAATTAAAACGACCAAAGCCCAATTTCCATAGTTTGTGTGTTTAAGTGCTCTGAAAGACAATTTGTAAATTAGATATGATTCTAATTTCTCATAATATATTGTTTATATATCGATGTATACGATAAAGGTTGCTTAGGGTATGATTGACTGATTGATTGCTTGTTTGCATATTAATTAATTGATTGATTGTTTGCATATTAATTGATTTATTTATTGATTTCGTATTGATAACTTATAAATTTCAATAGATAACCTGGGCGCATACGAGATAACACAGCAAACGACACTTACAATTTACCAGAGGATGCGAGATATACTTTTTACTTCGAGATGTTATACATGTACCAGTTTTTGTTTCCTTAACTTACAACACTTGAAATTTACCTCAGCATTCGACGCTAGCATTTTATCCAATCATACAACTTCAACATACGTTATATATCTGAGCATACAGTAGCCATATATTACCTCAGCATGCGACACCTCTGCTCTGCTAATCGTCTGGCAGCGTCAAACAAATCCAAGGTATCCTCTCGTCTGCTCCAAAGTCGCTCTGCTGCTGCAGAACCGCGAGGCCTGATAATATAAAAAGGCCAATGCATCTATTATTTGATTATGACTTCCGTGTTTAAAGTATTTTATGGGATTATACATAAAGCAAAACAAGGCAAAGTATAACGAGCAACACATAGTTCACCACCTTTGCACAAACGTATGTATCAAAAAATAAAGACACCGCCGGAAAAACTAATAAGAAAAGGAAACATGAAAGATAAGAAACGAACATGGGGTCAGCAGCAATTTTGGTGTATCCAATGTCTTTTTAGTAGAAGACAGGAAAGAAAACATGCACGGAGCTCACATTAGTCGTCTCTTTCGATACACATGCCGGGGGATACAGCTACACACTATCATTGGTTTCTTCAATGTCCCTTGAATCCCCCGCCCCCCATCCGCCCCCCCCCCCGGATTGTACACGGGAAGGAGNTTCATCAACATCTCGCTTGACATGTATTCTCCCCACATGCATACTTCTCCTCCAAGTATGGCCTTGTCATTCGCGTAGCGGCCACCATCTGATGATAAAGTTGGGTAACATAACACAGGAGTCAAAATAATATTTTCGTGACTATTTTAAAAAAGGACAAAGTATAATATTTCTTTATTTCTTTATATCTAAAATGGTAAGGATTTGTGGAAGGAGCGATGGCAGAATTAAATCAGGCACACATAAACTTAGTCCAGATACACTTCAGTTTCTGTCGATGACAGGGTTGGAATTTACGTCATGATGATGGCGTAACATTTCTTCAGTGTTAATTGCGACCTTTCTGTTAGTTAGAAAAAACTGAGTAGTTTATTGGTCAACAGGATGCATCTAGCCAGCTCCCATTTTCATGAACTCTCCTTACCTTCATTTTTCCCCAAGGAATGCACTTTTTAATTTACGAAAAAAAGATAAATATTCTTAACTTTAACAATGCTTTACTATGGACTAACTAAGCTAAGGAATTGCCGCAAAGTAAGAAACGTTCATAAAACTGGAGACAGATAAATCCAGACACAGTAATAAGGCTATGAAGAGGGGGAACTAGCTGTGACATGTACACTTCATGTGACATGTACATTTCATGTGACATGTACACAGGAGAGGATTGGATATTACTACAAAAACCGCGTAATTCTAAAACCAGAATTATTTATGCTGTATATATTTTTGTGTTTCTACGATAATATTTACTGGGTAAGATACCTACCGTAAGGGTCACACTGGTAGAACTTGCGCCAGTGGACGCCGGGATCTATTCGGTCTAGGTACCAGCAGGAAGAATATATAACTCGGTATCCTTCTAACAGCACCCTCCTTAGGTAGTTGTCTGTCCGCCATACCTGGATAATGGTGTCCTTTGGGATCTGTCACGGTAAAAAGGCAAAAATAATGTTATATTGCAAATATATCAATAAATGGCCCGATTCATAATGTTTTGCCTAGGAAATGGCGTTCTCCGGTATCTGAAAATAGCACAGTGAGACTAACATTTTTTTTGCACCACAACAGAAACGCATTGTTTTAGAAAATCTTTTAGCTAATTGTCCACCAAGCCTTGAAGTTGGTGACCTTTCGGATCAAGAATGGCCATGAAAGCAACAATAAAGTTGTATATGTCAAATTGTATTCTTTGATGTATGAAAGAACACAATGTTCATAACATGACTGTAGTATCATTTTAGAACCAAGCGTGTACACATGTATTTGGTATTATAGAGACCTACGAGTATAGCAAATAAATATATAACGTTGTCCTGAAAAGTGAACGAAATAACTAAGTGGTGAGAGAAATCATACCGAAGCCACGTATTTGCAAGGTAACTCTAACAGGACTCTTTATCAGCTGTTGTACTTTGTGCTCTATTGAGGTCAACACAAAATTAAAATTTATTTCATCAAATGTACAGATAATATACCCATATGGCCATTTAAGTATCACGTGATGTGCCCTTAGGTTACTTAAGCTTCATGTGATACACTGAGGTCAAAAGGTCATGTGATAGACACAATGAGGCTATTAAAGGGTTATTGCATTTCGTTTACAATTGTTTTTATCGTAACATATGTTTAACAGGTTATGTGATCATCACAGTGAAGTCATTAAAGGGTCATGTGACAGACACCCTGAGGTCATTGAATGGGTCATGTGACAGACACCCTGAGGTCATTGAATGGTTATGTGACAGACACCCTGAGGTCATTGAATGGTTATGTGACAGACACCCTCAGCACTGTCGGTTATGTTGCAGAGGTTCAAGGCATATCAATGGAGCCGTGTTTGAACCCATTTCTCAATAAATGGAGAGTGCGGAGTTACAAGTTTGAGAGAGGCGAAATTGTGTCCCTTTTTTCACCAGTTGATCACGGTGTCAAATTAATCAAGAGGGTCGTGGCGTTGGAGGGAGATGGCGTGTGGACCCGCAGCATGAAGAAAGTGGTTCGATTACTGCAGGGACATATTTGGGTGGAAGGTGACCACCGGAAAAGTTTGGATAGCAACAGCTTTGGACCTGGACCTGTGGTGTTGGTCATTGATGACTCACCCCACATTTCTCTTAATACATTTAAAAAAATCAATTTAGGTTTTATTTACTTTTGCGACACGCTATTTTAACAAGTAATATTTGAAATTGCCTGTTTAAAGATACAACTAATTTAGTTGACACCAATAAGAATATATATGAATTTAAACTGGGTTTATTTTCAGCCCACTGTATGATTGTTGTGTTTCTACATTTATAGTATACCCAGGGCTTACAGTTTGATTTAGGCAATCTAGGGTATTTTAGATAAATAAATCGGATCACATATTAAATTGAAATGTATTTTGAATGACATTATATTTAATAAGTGTATACGACTTCATCTAATAGACCATAAAACGAGCTTTATTAAACGGCATATAATGGATCAATATGGAGGTTTTTTGATGTTATACACCTTGTGGTCATTAAAGGGTCATGTGATAAACACCCAATTGCAAGATCATTACAGAGTCGTGTGATAGACATACGAATTCATCAAATAGTCATGTGATAGACACCCCAAATCATCAAATGGTCATGTGATAGACACCCCAAATCATTAAATGGTCATGTGATAGACACCCCAAATCATTAAATGGTCATGTGATAGACACCCCAAATCATTAAACAGTTATGTGATAGACACCCCAAATCATCAAAGGGTCATGTGATAGACACCCCAAATCATCAAAGGGTCATGTGATAGACACCCCAAATCATTAAATGGTCATATGATAGACACCCCAAATCATTAAATGGACATGTGATAGACATCCCAGATGATTATATGAACATGTGATAGGTATCCCAAATCGTTTAAGGATAAATACCTTATGGTCAAAATGTTCCAGACTTCTAAATCAATAAAAGCTAAATTAAAGGCTATTGTAGACAATTAGTTACATGTCCCAACATCTTTAAGCCATGGATATAATATCTTATACGGGTTAATTTTTGCTGCCAAATACGGAATTGTAATTTTCAGAGCATTCACAGTTACTCAAACATAATTCAACATCATTTCAACATCATTAATCTTACCTATACTGTTGATGAGGTGAATCGTCTTATCTGTCGATGCTTCAAAGTGTCTAATGGTGGACAAACATAGTCGGCACGAGACTTGTATCTACCCGACCAACGTTTTTTACGTTCATCTTCAAATATGATATCTTGTTTATTTGTGCACTAGTAAAACAGCTCGACATATATTAGGCCGGACTTTACATCTCCTGTCCTTGTATGCCGATATATATAAGTGTATGTAGGTGATGTAAGTGTGATAACAAAGATTGAAGTTAATACATTTAACAACAATAGATCTACGTGTGTGTGTATGTAGATTTGAGAGAGAGAGAGAGAGAGAGAGAGAGAGAGAGAGAGAGAGAGAGAGAGAGAGAGCTGAGCTCCTGAAAGGATTATGTTATAGACACACTCAAGTCATAAGAATGATACACACTCTGAAGTCATTATAAGGGACAATTTAATGAAGTACGTTTTTTCAATCCCGTCAGAAAAGTCTTCGTAATAATATAGTTTGATATTCCTTATGAACAATTCATGTCGAAAAATTGATAAAAGACAACGTTTTCGTTGCGTTTTGAATCAGTAATGAACAAATTCTAAACCGCACAACAATACGTTTTAGCGGCCGCTGTCGGTGAATTCTAGCTTACAAAAATGTTTTTATTCTTAATCGAAAGCAACTTCCAACCACCAATCATCGTTATAAATTAGTAATCTATTTTACGTTTAAACCTATTGACATCGTTCTTACTGTTGTTTGAAACTCGCCCTGCGGTACCCTCTCAGTGCTTGCATACTGTAATTAAACATGTTTGTTTGTATTCAAAGTCAATTGTTAATGGAAATATCAGATTATATTTGTATAGTATTATACTTATAACTCTTGCTTGCGATATATGTGTAACGTGTGAAATAAGACTCATAACTGACGCTGTGTTGTCGTTCGACAACGTGGCATTGTACATATTTAATTCTCAGAGAAAGGCCCGGATATTGCGCTATTACGGTCGTAGCTATTTTTATCACCGGCTTTCCCAAAAGATGAAACTGACCACACTGGACGTTGGCTTCAGGTCCTGTCATTATTAACCACTTAAACGTTCGTTAGGAGATACATATTTTCAGTATCCACTCGATTTTCAGGTTGTCATTTGACTAAATAGTCACTTTAAAGGGTCATATTAAACCTCTAGTGAAAATCCAGTAATCTGATTGGTAGAGATACATGTACATTGTTCAATTCACACTGTCATATTCGCTTTAACATTGAGTCAATCGGAGGGTGCTTCCCAACGCCCTAGCAACGAGTGACAGTGCTAAATAGTGACCGCGTAAAGAAGATGAGCATACGGTTCGTTTTAGCCGCAATGGTTTTGCGTTGCAAATCATCGTCCATGTAGGTCCAAAGGCACTCCATGTCGCTAACGTGTATATCTTACCAGTGATTATAACGCCGACGTAACGCTGAGATGAGTGAGATTTACAAGCGCTCCATTCACGTGGTAGTCAGGATGAACAATCGGCCGAAGCTGTTTGGTAACCTAATCGTCGATTTCAATAACTACATTGTTATCTAACGGCCATGGCAATTCACAATGTTCATACAATAACTTTATTGTTAAAGCTTAAATAGTTCGCTGTTAAATTTGTTGAAGAAATAACTATATTTGTTACAAATTTGAATATTTCTTAATCATATTAACTTTCGGTATAATAAAATAAAAACAACATTCATTAGAGTGTGACAGTGATATCACTGTTACCCTATAATGAATGTAGTATTTATATAATGTGATTCACACCCTGAGGTATTGTGATAGACAAACCGAGGTCAATAAAGAGTTTTTGTATTAGCCACACTGATAGGTCATCAAAAAATTATGTGATAGACAGGTATTGAATAATCTGTGAATTATTAGTTTGATACTATATTTTAATTGAACTCATTGGATTTTGAAAATTCCATAATACCACTCATAACAAATAATTCATTACTTTTTAGGACTTCATACGAAGCGTCTATCTGAAAGAGGTAGATACATTATTCTCTTAGGGTCATTAAAATGTCATATTGTAGACATTGTGTCATATTTTAGAACCATTGTAAAGAGTTTCTTGCTTAAACATCAACCATGTTATATATAATATTAATTTATACTTTCATCGGGTTCTGAGATTAGTACACAAATACAATAAACAATCCGACGTCATGAGTAAGGGTGAACGTTCATCCATTGCAAGTCCGATGTCTCGTCATAAATAAGCATTGTGTTATACGACAATGTCGTGTTCATATTACCCCAAAAATAGAATGGGGTCAAAGTTGAACTATTCTAAGATGTTTTGGTACAAAAACGTCTGCATATTTTGTTATGAAACTTAACCATTTCATGTATTATGACTAAACAATGTATCATGGTACCCATTACTTTCAAATATCCGTTCTAGCTCGTCTCCTTCAAACCGTTTCCAGTGTCTTGAACTACATTTATACTCAAACCCTTCAAAACCACTAAAGCATCAAGCCGAACCCACTCCACAACTTCCCCCGCCCATTTTTGGTGCTGAAACCAAAACTGCAGACACTGCACATTGGAGTTGGGGTAAAGGAGTTACCTCCCCTGTTAGATTTAAACTTTTTGACCAATATCATGACAGACAGTTTATTATATATCTTTGTATCACCATTACATTAATAGATGTTTTCATCAATTTTATCAAAATCTATGGCAAGAACCATAAATTCAGGTATATTTTCACAATTCCTATTTCAATTGAATATATCGCGTTTGTTAATTGTTATACCATATAGACTGAACATAAACCATATTAATGCTAGTAGGATAACTTAGTCCCATTCAGACACTATGCCAGCAAAATGTTCTAAAACTTGTGGTCGAAAGGCGGTTTTACAAATAACAACTGAAATTACATTTCAGATTTTTCATAAACAATTTTAAGTCCTATCTCCCTCTCTCTTCTGTGTTTTTTTCGCTAAATTTAATAATGGAAATGATTCTATAAAAAAAGGTTGAACCATAAATATTGAACTACTTCATGTTGTGTACAATTTAATCATGTACGATTGCTAAAAGTTAATACATATTCTCAACGTGTTTAACGAATATAAGACCTTTCTAAAGAACTCAGGAATCTTAAAACTGTTATCGCAAAAACTTAGCACCAGGCAATTAAGGTTAAAAACGCAAAAAATGTCACCCCCCTAACAATATCGAATTCACGGCGCAATGTGCAAAAACCTTTTTTTATAGCAATTATAAACAGGTTCTACAATATGATATAAAAATAAAGGATTTAACAAACTGATTTCTTGTATACGTGCAAAATGAAGTAATTTAGTTTTAAAATGAGCAGTATTTTCCGCTCCCTATCTGAATAATAGACACACTGCTCTTCTTAAACAGCAACAAACAGACAGACCTCTAATACGTACATGGGCCACTTACGTACGTATATATGGGTCTTTAGCTCCGGCTGTCGTGTTATAAGCTGTTCTGATTTGGTGCAGCCAACCTTCTAATTGTCTATATTTATAACTTGACCTTTACCCCTGTTATTGTAAAAGTGTCTTTCATGCTTTCTATTGGTGGGTATAACACGATTGCATTTCACTCTGTTTTGACATCTTTTTAGAGTTTTACTCCTATGAATAATGTATTACAACTTGCAAATTCATGCAAATAAAACAAAGCTTTGTTTCATTTGAAACAATTCAATTGTTATGGATAAAGGTAAGTTTTGAAATATATGTTAAACAATCGATTTTGCATAAATGTTTCAAACACTCACCTTTCTCTTGAATATATTGGATCAGACTTAAAACAACATATCGCCTGTACTTTAGCTAAGTCATTTTGTAAATAGAGACGATGTTCATTTCGAGAAAACTTTTTTCATGTTTATCTAAAATATGTACTTGTGTTCAGTGTGATGTAGGACAATACTATCGCTATTTGTTACACACTTTCAAGATTATTTGGTTAATAAAAAAGCAGTACTGCTCTTAACCGTTTAATTCATAATAACGCATCTGCCCCTCTGTTCTATCAGTAGTTAAGACAATTCGGAGTTCAATCTTTTCTGCTCCAACCCCTAGCATCATAGACGAGTCTTAGAAGGTATAAACAGTCTTATGATGCAGTGAAGTTAATTTTTGACTGTATCTTAAGATGAATATACCACCGTGTAAAATGTGATGTAAAATGGCACGAAACGGTGCAAGACCGAGCAGACGAGATCGACAGATCGAGCACGGGATATAATTTGTACGATATGTGATATTCAAGTCTGATGTGCAAGAAATGTAAGTCACTGTGTCTCCATAGGAATTGGTTTTACCTCTACCTATTTTGTTGAGTGCATTTTTTTCTCAATTCCTGTTTTTGTCTTTTTGTATCCATATGTTTTTTATAAGTCTATTTTTTCTGACGTAATGGTATTCATTTGTTTTTGGGGTGGGGGCGGGTCTTGTGTGTTAACTTTTACTGAGTATAAACTATGGGCGTCCATTTGTGAATGGTATTGTAGTATAAATATATTTTTTATGTTTAAGTCATATCCGCGCAACTAAAAAAGTGTTCTCTGCGACACCTAATAAAAGACGTGTAGTAAATTTCAAAGTTAACAAAAGTTCTTTTACTACTTATCATATTCGCTGCAAAACACACTTTATGACTATTTTGTAATTGTATTTTATTTACCTCCCAAACAAAACTAAATGTTTGGTCAATGTCCATTATGGGTAACAAACTCCATTAAAACAATACTCAGAAAGTGTGAATATGTTTGGTTAATGTCCTCTTGTGGGATAACAAACTCCATTAAAACAATAATCAGAAAATAGTATATATTTTAGTGTTAGATCCATTGTTAACAATTTGACAGACTGGTGATATAATTAATGGGTTGTTGCGTGCTAGGCACAAAAAAAATGAAACTTTAAACAGACTTTTGCAAGTTCATGATATTTATTTGCAATATGCAAAGAGATAAAGAGCTAAAACTACACATATAATAACAATATATGAGGTAGAATTACAGAATTGAATCGGGACTTGCATATTTCTAATATGATTATTTATATGAAGCTACTGTATGCTGTTTATTAGGGTTTTACCTGTTACTTTATCAAAATAATATAAGAATCACCTAGATGGCAACCTCTCTTTTAAGTATTGCAACAGTCATGATAAATACATATATAAACAATACATGTTCTAGCTACACATTCTATATTCATGTTGAATACCACAAACATTTTGTCAAGCAAAAAAAGCATGTTCAATGTAATGAAGGAACAGCTTTTTTAAATTTTGTTTTGCAATGGAGTGAATCACCTTCTCCACGCTACTTGAATATAAATGTTCTGTCAACGTTTGCCAATGGTTTAAGTTAACATGGTTTCCCTTTTATGCCATCATTACATTGGTGATTTCCTGAAACAGAGATGACATTAACGAAATCAAAATAAAACGAAAATATCAAGTAATTTATGTATATTTTTAGGTGCATAAACCTAACGATTTAATTTAATTTTGAAATTGTATATATGTTTTTGTGAAATTTTGATGAAGATGAAGAAGAAGCGACAGGGAACTTAATTTTATATCTTAACTTGACGGCCTATTTACTATAATGGTTAAATAAAACATTCAGGTCACACAGGGCTACACGTAGATCAAAAAGGGCATTGTAAAAAAGGTAGAAAAGGAAAAAGATAAGGATTGCAAATATCCTGCTGGGATTCCAACATTAGTCGCCTCTCATGATTATGAAGCGGGATGCCACCGAACGTCTACTTTATCAACTTGCATGAAGGTATGGGCACAAATCTAGATTTATACGGTTATGCTCAGTGGGGCAAATATGTATAATAAATCATCCATTATAGTCTTCAGTTGATACACTTGTTTGACTGTGTCAAGAATATTTGCAAAGTATGATACCGAGCGATGGCCTTTGATCTCGAATACAAAATAAATAAATGATTCGCGATAGTCAAGAAAATTACAGTATGCATGCACTTATATGGCTCTGCCCAATACCTTATATTCAAACCAAGATTTTTCGCTGATTTGGAAGTGGTCGTACTCCTCAAAGTCCTTCACAATTACTGACACCTTCCTTTTCCTCATTGCCTGTGAACATGTTTTGTCATTCAATAATAATATAAACGATGGGAGTTTGTCATATGATTTAATGATAATATATGTTTTTGTTAATTTACCTTGTATTATTGTTGCTGTAACAATAATATTATATCGGTAATATATTTGATAGTTGGAACTAATATGATAGTGTCACGTGATGAAATGAGATACCAGCCAGACAGTCAAAGAAATGAATGAACTAATTACTAGAAAAACGTGAGAAAAACTTTAAAAAGGGACAACAACACAGCAAGCCAAACAAAAAAAACGTTGACTGCATTCTTGGTTCAAATCCGTGAAGAGCGTGGCAATTTGTTTTCTCTCTCAGAACAATTATTCATTTATTCATATATCTCGTCATATATTTATTTTATAAAGAATTTCCTCGCTTTTTTCCAGAAATGATTCATTAATACCATTGTCATGCTTTTAACCAAGTTAATTATCTATATTTAGAGCGTTTTTGAAAGTGGTGTGGATATCCTGCAAATGTTACATGTTTGGTTGTATCAACTAATTCATTTTTTCAATTGTTATTAATTATGAACTGTGCTTGAAGAAATCCAAGCTATATTGTTTTTTTTCAAGACAAAACGAATAATAAAAATGAAAATAAATACCCGAAAAAACAAAACAGCAGTGAAGTGACATTTTGACGTAAAATAAAAATAAAAGTACGAATACATAGTCAAGGTGAAAGATAGTAAACTACAACATATTTTCTATTCTAAACAAATCATTTGAGGAACAAGCTTCAAAATGAAAATCCTTGATTATCCGTAATGCTGTTCATTCTTGGTACTTACCTCCGCGAACTGACTACTTTGTTGTCTGAAGGTAGGTGTGTCCTTCCCTCCCATCACAATAATTAAGGTCCTATTTCTACTTAGAGAAGCTATGGTGTCCACGTGTTTGCAAGGACTGCACTCCCACGCAACCTCGCTAAAATAGAGCATGCATAAAACGAAATACGTAGTGTATGGTCAATATATCTTAGTGAACTCCATAGCTAGATTCAACCCCCTATATCAGGACAAAAGAACAGAAATGATAAACAAACTGAACTGGTATCCAAATATATCTGCTAATCACTTACTTTTTGGTGACAACAATCTTAACTTGCACTCAAATATACAAATATGTCAAGCGGTGCAATTATATATTCTCGAAAGTAAACGTTTTCTTTTTTTTAAAAAAACACTCACCATCTTCCGAAGCGACAGGACAAAAAAAGTCTATCTCTCTCTCTCTCTGTTTGATGTTCATTTGTAGAATATTAACAATTCAAAATCGTATGTTCACAGTAAATAATGATATCAAAATAGCGCAACTCTTGCCTGACAGAAAGTATACTGTGATTCGAGGAATGATCTACAGGCTGACATGAGTGGTCACTACAGTGATGGACACAGGAATGAGACCGGACATTTGTTTATTGAAAGTATGTGAACAGTGCTAAGTGAGGAGCAAGCCAGAGGCGCAATTCTATTGTTAAGTCATTATATATACATGTGTATATGACTATACTAAAACCATCTACTAAAATATTCTACGCCCTACTTCCAAGTATTTCTACTTCTATAAAATTTGTCAATTATATCTACAGCTAGATTATTGCGTTATCATGCATTGTTTTGTAATTCAATCGGGAAAAGGCATCAATAAGTTGTGATAACTTGCGCTTAATCCTTTTGTTGTAATATGCAATAAAATCTGCTTAAACTAAATTCCATTTTATTTCGCAAGGCATCTGCTTAAAGATATTTCTTTGTGCTACCTTCTTACTTTTATTTACGTTTCTCTAAAAACACTTACCGTGTCAGGTTGAGCGGATCACCGATATAAGTGTCAACTAACGGACGAACGTCAAATATCCCCGATATCAGAATCCCACCTGTTGGATACAGCAAGTAGGTAAAATAGTATCACAAGTAGAATGTTAACAAACTATAAGACAGAGTTTCTAGAGCTTTCTCAGTGTATGTTAAGGCGTCTGACATTCTGCTGCCACTAGCCCTCAACCACTGGGTCGCGGGTCCGAGGCCTACGTGGGGCTGTCGCCAGGTACTTGCCGTAGGTTGGTGGTTCTTCTCCGGGACTTCCGACTTTCCTCCACCATTAAAACCTGGTACGTAATTAAATGACCATAGGTGTTAATAGGACGTAAAACACAAAAACAAAACCAAACAACATGAGTGTTCAACTATAAACATGTGTATTTTATTTTATTTTTTTAAATCTGAAATCACCTCCAGGGTAAAAGTTAGCCTATTTTCGGAGTGGATTCATTTAGGAGCGGGTGCAGGGCAAGGAAATGGTAGGGGGACAAGGGGGTAATGTAAATGGACGATGAGTTAGTAAGTTAGACGAACCCATTCGGATATGTCAATTTATACCTTTAAGTAAATCATTGGATATATCACATTCTTTTGTCCAGTCAATCCCCAGCATCATAGCAGCAAGATGTCCACCGGCACAGTGACCTCCTATATATACAGATCTGTCAAATGTACGAAAGATAAAGTTAAGGTAGAGGTCATATAGTATTCATGACAAACGGACCAGTGACATTTGTCACAATGTATCCAATATGATGAAAAATGTTCATATTATCCCTGTGTATAAGAATGTACAGGCTATATAAATATATAGTGAACTTGGTCTCCGTGTGTTAACATAGGAACTATTGGAATTAAAATGTATCCGATTATTCTCATGTAGACACTACTACCTTTAACTCTTCTCTGGAGCTTTGTATCAATAATCTTGTCAATATAAAGTCGAAACAGTACTTTGCAATATTGCAATATTGAAGAAATGATAAAAAAAGAAATGAACTATTTATAAATATTATCAAGCTTTACAATTTGAATATTTGATTGTTACCTACCGTGTTCCACGGTTTTTGGCCCACTTTAAAATGAATGACACAGCTTTCTTGATTTCTGTTACAATTTCCGGCATGTCCACTGCAAGAGAAGGATACAGTTACAGTTTTCTTTAAATCCTAATTGAATAACAGAATACAAAATCGCTTTCGGTAAAACTATCATGTCGGCATCAGATTCGCGCTTTCACAAGGAGGCAAATGCACCAAAATACCTTGCCTCTGGCACACACGCATACATTATACATATAGAGGCACGTCCTTAAATGACATGAACTGTTGAAAGGACGTTAAACTCCATAAAACCAAACCAAACAAAACTCTATTCTTATTTATTTATTTTTATTTGTTTACCAATTTATTGGCTAATGAGGCTTTACACCACGGAGTCAAAAATTTAGAATACTCATCACTCTCATATCCTGTTCCATTAGTTCGTTCACTTAATTAGTGTGGACATTTAATAAGGATAGAAAGCTGTTCAGATTAACGAATCTCCCTACCTTCCGGTGCCTTTTGATATCCGATTGGGATCACTACGATTCCACTCTCTACCAAGTAAGGAGCCATAAAACTTGAAGACTCTCTCCTAAAGCATTAAAACACATACACTCAACGATAAAGTGTAACGAGTCACGGCGATATACATATATATTATGTGTACGTTATGAATTCTGTTGTCATGTTAATATACTATTTAGGGGATAATACGTTGTTTTGAGTGGCTATACTGTCGATTAGAACATGGAATTTGGTTTGAACTCGAGACCGATTTCATGTTATAATCGCCAGTATAGACACGGTGATTATTTGTATAGATTTGTGAAGAGTTTTGTGTAAATTCATACGACACATGTGAAATGTTTCATTTGATTTCGGATCTAACTAGATGCCTTTACACGGATGGTACGAACGTTTCAATAATAAATGGAGGTAAGAACAAGGAATGTTTACCTTTTACTTTTAAATTCATTCAACAAATACATTTCATTGGTCTATTGTGTTCTCTTGCCTGCTAGCCTTATCAGCGAGATTTCGCGAAGTAAAAAGCATAATTAGTGTTTCATCTAAAAATAAGCAAATCTTAACAACAACAACAACAAATACCAAACAACAATAACGCTGGATGTCGGATGTCGTAGTGAATAGGTAAAAACCTCAAACCTTATCGAAATTTAAACATCAGAAATTATACTTTAATCATCCAATTTAAAGAAAACAAAGAATAGATATTTAATCAGAAAGCTGAAAAAGTCTAATAAAAGATTAAGAAATATTTTAAATCCTGGCATAAAAAATAGTAAAGAACAATAAAGAGTGCATTGTGATGATAGAACAAGAGCTCTTTTCATACAACAATTGAAATATTTTGACGTAACCTTTATCGTTATACCTTAAATCTTCGCAAACTTTTGTTTGTAATAAAAGTACTTAAAACGATTTATACACGATATATTGTTCATCTTTTCAACTTTTCACGGATTATCATAACTCTCGTTTTGCTTTCCACATTAAATTTGGCAAACATTAAATTACCACGATATGACATTATTCACGAACATTAAATTCAAAACCATATCTATAAGAAAAATATTAAAAATATTAATTTTCAATTGTTTTGTTAACATGACGTCCCCCTTTATATGACCGATATGTGTACATCTATCGTACATACCCGAGCATGGCCCAGTCTCCTCCATGTATGTAACAAAAGACAGGCGCATCTGTATAATAGAGGAGACGCCAGTTGAAATTAAAACATGTACAGAGACCACCTTCAGACATTCCGTAAAGAGTTGTTAAACATATGAAGTTAGCAAGCACATTTTCAACAAAATTAATAAGTCAATAAGGTAAAAAGCCAAACAAAGAAGGTATTTATTGGACCATTTGACTATATGGTCCAGTAAAAGCTAACTTTGGTTGGCCTCATCAATGGTGCTTATGGTCAAATGAATGAAATGCATGTCAATAGAGTTCTAAGAATCCTGCATAATGTGAACGGTAATAATTCATTTCAGGTGGTCTCTTTATAAAGGTTTATTTAACATGGAAATGTCCTCAATGGCGAATTTTAGAAGTTGTCTCTTAATTCCAGTGATGTCTTCCGTGGTCTGTATAATACAGTAAATAAATGAATAAAAAATGATTACACAAATTCATTTCCAGTTTAATAGTCAACTTCGATTTTGACATTTGCAAAACATTTAATCTCCGAGTTTTTTTCTAGACTCAAAGCCGTAAAACCCCCGTAAAACCCCGTGTGTCGTTAGCAAAATGATTTTCGACACGTTTTATTTCGATTGTTTAAGGTAAACTTAATCAAATATATTACCATGGATACACTTATACAATAATAACCGTTTTGAAACTTTACTGAGCTCGAATATGTATTGGTTTCCTAACCGCGAAAACAATCACCGTGTTACAGACCAGCTATAAACAATGTAAGCTCACATACCTGCTGGTAAGGTTTGCCCACCGAAGATGTCTATTTTCTCGAGAGGTTTATTGCCGTATGCCATGTCTAGCTCACAGTCCAGAGTTTGTCTGGCTTCTTCACTTCCTGTAAACACAACGCGTTTTTAAAATATGATACGTGTCATTTGATATGTGTTAGTTCAGAAGGTGTATTTTGCATGAATTCGCGAATTTAAGCTCCACAGAACAGAAAGCAGTTTCTGCTTTAATGTATTAAAACAAGTATAATGAATGCAATGTTAATTTATATTTTTCACGTTCATTACCGTTTAGTAACAAACATCCAAGTCCAACACATCGAAACTTAGAACATGCGTTCCCAGTCGGAAATATCGTAGAGAGGAAGTTGTCCTCTCTCGGCTCCGCACTGGGCACACTTATCCTACTCATTCCTACATGCCACGCATGTGACACTCCATTTACAGTGGGACATTCTTAAATAGAATGTTCCCATTTTAAACACAATCATGATAATTACTTTCGAGTCCCGGATATGAAAACTCTTTTCATTTCCGTGGACTCAAGAGCATTATTTCACAATTTGAAAGACACCGGTCTACACTTTGATGTCGTTTAACCCACCTTACCCTCTTTGACGTTTTATATAAAGATATATACATACATATCACATATTCCATATAATCTATTTATTATCTCTTTTATTATTTTAACCCTTTTTCATTTTTAATTATTTACACATACCATGCGAATGCTTTAAATATACATTTTAACTTCGCTACTCACACGTTTGTTAAAAAATAAATTAATAAATCACCGTGACCCTAAATGACCACAGTTGTCGATGGTTAAACTCAAACAAACAAACAAACATACAGCTCAACACAACATAAAATGACCACTACCTTTTGTTAGGATACCAATATGGTTCTCTACGAGCGCTGCTGCTGGACTTATCCTTGTAAACCATTTTGATGGAGAGAACTGTAATTCACGTTCCTGTTTGACAAAAATCAAGTGTTTTGCATCATACACAAAGAGGTACGTCATATCATACAAGTAGTTATATCCTAGTAAGGTGAATACTATAAGACGCAACCCAATCTGATTAAAACCAGATCTTTGATTCCACTATCGGGAGTGAAGATCTAGATTTAATCAGATTGGACGCAACCTAACCTACTGTAAAAGTGGAAATTCTCGCGCTTTGAAAAGTTTTGCATTAGCAGATTTGAAGCTTTCATTTTTTTTCTTCTTATCTTATAGTAACTGTATCTTGAGTTGGATTGAGTTACACAGTTGGGCCTGTATATTACCGTTGACCAGGTGGCTCATTAGCTTAAAACAGTAGGATAACAATCTGATCCAGAGTTCGAATCCCACTCAGAACACTATTGTTGATTATAACTTATTCATTTCATCTTTATTATTTTTTTATTTTGTGTGAGGTTTAACATCCTTACAACAGCCAGTGTTATTTGAGGACGAGTGCCTAGGGAGACATCGCCTTAAACAGAAAGTAGATAGAAAAGGGGGTCCTACATTAGTTGCCTTTTACGATACACATGCATTGGGATATAGCAGGTCTATTCTTGATTTTGTCAATGTCCACTGAATGGAGGCAAAGAAAGAAACCACCCCCGATTCACAGGGGCTCCCGACACTAGTCGCCTCTTACGATCATGCGGTGGGAAACAGCAGGCCTATTGCTTCCCCGAACATGCACGGATTTTCCAATGCGTAGTTTTGGCATTGGAACAAGGAATCTCAAACCGTTTACATATTTCCTGTACTTATCTTTGTGATTACACAGAAAATACTGCAAACATTTATGAACAACGAAATCGTTATGATATGTAATAGTGTGTATAGAAACAAGAGGACAATGCCTCCGTAGGTTTGCCAAAACTTTGACATTCAAATTACCTTAAATTACTATTAAAGTTATTTTGAAAACTAAGCTGACTGTGCGTTGTTCTTTATTGATAACAGTAGTGGAAAACTGACAATGCTTATGAAATTTGCATCTTTCAAATTCCATAGCGCTGGCGTCAAATTTCGAGCTCTGTGTTCACTTCACACACCTTAACTGTCGTTATGATCCCTTCAATGAAATATATCATGCGTATAGATATGTTGTACCAAGTTACGAAATTCTCCTTCGTCAAAAAGTCCCGATATATCAGTACCAAAACTGTATTCATATACAATTGTAGGTGTAACAAAAGGGGATCATATTATGTCCATCAAGTTAGATTTCATCTAACATGAAACTAATTTCATCAACGTTTGGAGTTGAAAACAATCAAAAGCGGTCAAATGTCGTGACTTGTTCACGTTAACCAAAATATTTGAGTTATGAATGTCGACTAAATGGAGTTCTTGTATAGTCAAATATTACCTCTCTCGTTTGGTACAGAAGAGTTTCGTCCCATTCGGATTCCATGTCAGCAAAATATTCTAAAAGAAATGGTAGAAAGGCGGTATAGTTATGGCAAAAGTAAATAACATATCAGATCATACATATCATCATACACAAACTCACTATATCATCTACATTACACAAAAAACAATACACAAACTCGTCACACCTATCTACAATACACACACTCACATTTTTTTCTACAATACACAAATACAATACACAGACTCTAAATACACAATCTCACTATATTATCTGCAATTCACAACTCGTAACAGCTTTGTACAATACACAACCTCACTAATGTATCTACAATTCAAAAATACAACACACAAACTCGTTACAGCTATCTACAATACACAATCTCACTATATTATCTACAATTCCCAAATACAACACACAAACTCGTTACAGCTATCTACAATACACAAACTCACTATATTATCTACAATTCACAAATGCAACACACACATTTATCACAGCTATCTGCAATTCACAAACCCGTTACAGCTATCTACAATACACAAACTCTCTATTATGTACAATACACAAATACTAGTGGGGCGACACCTGAAGGGGTGTCACAGATGGAATGAAGTGTAGAGGGCAATAACTCTGTTTAAACACGGGTAAAAAAGCTATTTAACATGACATTGAAGAAATCTTTTGAGGGTTTTAACAAATTTGACCCCTTTGACCTTGAATAAAGGTCAAGGACGTTTCCTTTTGCAAAATTTGTCTGGTATAATGCTGCTATAAAGGCAAAGAAAAAGAAAAGGACAAAATTTACCTTCGGACCAGGTGAACTAACAAGAGTAGCGTAGGGCGGAACAATATACGCCAGTCGAATGTCATATAGTGTTATTTATTAACTTGCATTAAAATAAGATTTGCATGACCTTAAGAGTCGCTAACTAGCTATATATAGCATGCTATAAATCTCACCTTTCACTACAAAGTCAACTTCCGATTTTCTTTAATTTTCTAAAAGTTTGAGGAAAACAAGTAATCAAAAGATTAGTCTCCAACTCATTATATTAACACAACTTGATATCATGATTATGAAGCCTACCAAGTTTCGAAGAAATCGATAGAAAACTAGATCTCCGGACAAGATTCAATTACTAGAAATAAACAAAGGGCAACAACTTCAAAAATAGTCGAATAAATTTTTTGTTCAAAGAAACATAACTATATATCATAACTATAACGATTTCCAAGTTTCAAAGAAATCGGTCGAAAATGTAGGAGGAGATCGCTGGATAAAAATCAAATACTGAAATAAACAAAGGACAATAACTTTTGTAAAAATTGTCAAATCAAAATTCTTTTCAGGGAAACACAACAACATGTCATGATAATAAAGCCAAACAAGTTTCAAAGAAATCGATCACAAATACTGAAATAAACAAAGGTCAATAACTATTTGCAAAAATATTCAAATCAAAATTCTTTTAAGGGAAACACAACTTCATATCATGATTATAAATTAATGTATACCAAGTTTCAAAGAGATCAGTCAATAAATGTAGGAGGAGATGGTCAATGCCGGTCGGACGATAATACTCCCGTCAAATTTGACCAGCGTATAAAAATGGGATCACACATCAGTGGACAGTTTCTTATGATCATTGCTACATATCTGTATTACCAGGGTGGAAACAGATGACTGTGATGTCATATACATGACATTTTGAAATCTTAGATGTTATGTCACTGTTTATCTATTTGAGAATTAGTGTCTGTTGCTAAAAACAAATATAAGCTGAAGTTTGGATAGGATTTCTGTTGTTCATTATCACTGTGTAGGACTGACACCGGATATAGCTAGTACCGAAGCGGGCATGGACGCTAGGCGCAGACAAGCCACAGGATGTTTTCCGATATTTCTGGTATTTTCTAGTACGAAGAGACAAGTAAAGGAGCACAACAGTTATACAATAAACAATGATGTATGTGATGCAGATGATTTGTAAACTATTTCATGCGATCTGAAGATATTGGTAAGAAATGACTACAAAGCACCGGTACAATATCATTTAAAAAGAAAGAAGATGAGAAAACTATTAAAGTATGACATATACAATGATGAAACGGAAGTTACTGGCATATGTAGATGAAACTGGGATAAACATATAATGGTCATATGTTTAAATGTAGTCATTACGATGTAATTGACTTAAATGGTTCTTCGTCTGTGTACGGCGAATAGTTGTTGATACATTTTCAAGTGTACGGCAGCTAGTATGTTAACAGTACGGCAAATAGCTATACAATCATAACAATGTTTAGAGTGAGCATTTGTACTAGCTATGTTTTTTGTTTCATTTTGTTCCATTTGAAAAAAAAAAATGAAATCCCATTTTAAAAAATATGACGAAACTAACGCAAGGTATGGGTAATTGTTCAGAAATTATTTGGTTATGCAATAGTGATGCCGCAGAAAAAAAATCAATGCCTCATTACATTTTTAGGCGGAGGGACGGGGATCCTTAACAAAATGTATCACATTTAGGCAAGGTGTTCACTTAAATACTGTATACTATATGAACTATTCGCTGTACACCAGTTATTTAAAA